AGCAGATGGCCCCGCCCCTCCCTGAGCCTGGTTCTGCCGGAGGTTTCTTCCTGTTAAAAGGGAGTTTTTCCTTCCCACTGTCACCAAAGTGCTGCTCATAGGGGGTCATATGATTGTTGGGTTTTTTTTTCTCTGTATCTATGAAGCACCTTGAGGCGACTTTTGTTGTGATTTGGCGCTATATAAATAAAATTGAATTGAATTGAATTTCACAAGTGAGGCCAAATAAAAAAACAGACGTGTTCTGACTGTACCTCTAATAATAATAATAATAATAATAATAATAATAATAATAATAATAATAATAATAATGATAATCACGAGAAGAAGAAGCGTTTCTGTCGCTGCATCCACACTAGGAGAATGCGCCGGACTCACCTGAGGCAGACAGCAGCATGGGGAAAAAAGAAAAGTAAAGAAAATAAAATCCTGCTTCTATTCTTGTGGTCGCCATGGTACCCTCAGGAAGTGTAGTCCAGATCAGACAGCTATCCGCGTGCAGTCCCGGAGCCTCCTTTCACACTGGGATACTTTTCGTTTCTGCTCAGGACTAAAAACCTCCGCTCGTAGCAGTTTAACTCAGTCCAACATGACCAAATAAGGAGCGTCCGGCTCGCCCGTCATCACATCGCTGCGGTATGCGCTGCGTGCCTGTCCCGCTTAAGTCATTGAGCGGATATAGCGGCTCAATGGCTTCTTCGGACTCAGCCGATCATTATTACATCATAAGAACTTCTGTTCGTCCGGACAGAACCAGCTTTGGGGGTTTGCTTACCTGGATGATGGTTTTCATGCCGTGATTGTCTTTTACTTTCTTTATTTTCAGTGAGTCCTGAAAGTGTTTTCAATTGAAACCGTTTGTCTAGATTACAGGTTTGATGTGAAATCACAAGAGCGCCTTCATTCGTGCCTGGTTTCTGCTACAGATGCACGGTTGTGTTTCTGCAGGCAGACCTGTGCAGGTCGTGTTTCACAGAGGACTGTGTGTGTGCTCATGCTGACTACATGACTATCTAGAGAGATCACTAGAATGACGTGAATGACCGCAGCGTGGACCTTACAGCTCACTGTAACTCACTGTAACTCACTGTAACTCACTGTAACTCACTGAGTCAGAGCGGCTCCATTTATAGATCTGATTACTTTTGCTAAATTTCCAGACACACATGTGGAGAGCTTGTTCCAAAATGCTGGAATCCTCTAGTCCAGTCATTTCAAAGTGCACACTTGCACACATGAAAGGGGCATATAGCCTGAACAATGTAGCACAATAACAGTTAGCATGCTGTTAATGATATAAAGAAAGCTGAAGCTGATTTGTTTGTCCCAGGCTGTTATTCTGGCTGTTTCAGCCTTTTAATGGACTTTGGCAGTCCTGGCCCCCTCGTCCTCCTTCCCCTGAGAGGGCGGAGCAGAGATAATGAGAGGCCCGACTGCCGTAGGGTACAGTGTGGCTTTGAATACAGAGTAAGTCTCAAACAGGAAGGGTTGAATACACAAGCTGGAGTCCAACAGTTCCTCTGAAGGAAAGCGGAGTGAGAGCGCAGCTTCTAATGGCTGTTTCCTGCTTTGTCTTAACGTTTGCAGTTCAGCTGTTTGAAATTGAACCTGATGTTTGGAGCACTGATCATTACTGATAATGAATTTCTAAGTGTGCATGTTCTGCTTTCCCCAGTTCTACTGAGGAAAGGCTTCACGTGGTCAACGTCCAGATCATTTATTTACCTCTTCCCCAACAGTTATCTCTGTCACCATATCTCAAGGCATTTCCTAACATAGCTACTGTTCTCAGAGGAGAAATACACCGTGGTGTGGGGGCGCACTGCACACAGGGTGAGTCGCCCCGTGCCCTCCCTCCTGCCTTAATTACTTTCTCAGGCTCATTCCTGAAAGGAAGGAAGGGAGCAGCAGTGTATCACTGACTAACCAGCGCTAACACTGCACTGTTCACTGCATTTAGCAAGGAACTGGTGACCAGTAACAAACACTTTAGGCTGTTTTCTTGGCAAGTTAGGACATTGAAGTTGGAGCTGGGTCTTAATCGTCTTTTCTAGATCTTAATCTTCAGACTCAAGTAGTCGAGGCAGACAGTACTGTCCCAACGCTCTGCTTATTATGTCTGTTTCTGGCATTAAAACTAATGAGGGTTAATGATTCACTGGTGCTGATCAGAAGTGACTTACAGTATGTTTCTGAGGAGCCTGTTACTCAAAAGAGTCAGCGTTTGAGGATTTGCTCACCTGCAGGACTGAGCACGCACCAACACGTCAGCAGCACATTTAGAGAAATTCAGATTCACGTCAGCAGTCGGACTCCTTCTTATATTTGTGCTCAAAGCCTCATTCACCAGTTCAAACACGCTTTTCTATCCCACCTTCGCACGTTCACAGCCACGCGGATGCATCTTTGGTGGGTGGTGTGTTCTACGTCCTCAGCTACACCGATAACTTTAGATGTTAGGTCATCAATGAGCACTTAAAAGCTTCGGCATGTTTGAATCAAAGATGGGCTTTTACAGAAGAGTCCACGTCCACTTTTATTTGGCACAAATGTCACAAACTGTGTTCTGATTTTCTATCACTCTGGTTGTGTTTGCAGCACGAGCTGGATCAAGCACCAGCAAACCTAAATCTAGAGAGACTGGCAGGCTGCCCAAGGAAACCTGTTCCTGGTAGCTTTATCCTGCTCAACCTGCACACAGAGTGGCGAGCAGGCTTTAACAGCTTCCAGCAAACAGGGTGTGGTTTTAGAGGCGATCGGAAACAACAGCCTGTTTCTGCAAAGGTGGAACAGTGACAGAGAGTGAGATTATGAACCAGAGCTCTGCTGGCAACCATCAGCATCTCTCCAGGTGTTGTGTTCAAACTGCACATGGAGTAACTGTGTGAAGCACATGATGTTCAGAGTAGGGAACACAGTAAAGCGGTTTCCACTCCCAGCAGAAGGATTGGAATGCAGGGGTGAGTGCTCGGTGCGTTGGTGTGCAGGTTTCAGGGAGATTAGAGAACAGAGGTGGGTTTTCACCTGTTGGAACATGACTGTCTGCGGCTCATGATGAAAACAGGAAAGAGATCAGACACAGAGATATACGTGTTTGTCAGGACTTTTTCCTGTGAGGAATAAAGGGGACGAAGCAGCCTGTATGTAGACGAGCCTTTTAAGGAGACCAGGGCGCAGTCTGGACTCTGAGCTCAGGTCACGTGAGCTAGAAGCAAGAAGCTGTTTTATTAGAAAACAGAACAAAGGAAGAAACTGACGGGAGCTGAAACATTCAAAAGATCCAAGACTGTAACGTGTCCTGAATGTTGCACACACACACACATAACAACTTTAGACCACGGGGAGGACGAACCCTGCTTTAACAGGATGTTGGGGGACAGAAGAGCACAGGACATGTAATGACGAGCAGTAGTGGCACTTACATGTGTAGTAGATCAGGTCACATTTCACACTCTGGGCTTGTGTGTGATGTAGACACACAGAACAAATAAACTGTTCCTTCTCAGTTGTCTGCAGCGCAAGCAAGCCACCAACCACAACCCCAGCATGTCAGCTGATGCAGGATCACAGTGTGAGCAGCCTCGAGCTGTGAGCGTGGGAAACAACTTCAGAAGGGTTGTCTTCAAAACCAACAGATAAGCAACACAAGCAACAAGTGACACATATCACAATATCGCACACACACACAAATCTGCCTTTTAACATATTAATAGACATTATTAGGATAAAGACATTTTTCCATAGAAGTCTAAAAGAAGAAGAAGAAGTGAGAGCAACCAGACTTGGGAAGCAGCAGCCGTCTGCTGTGGCCACACACACATTTTCTGTCATGGTGTGTGTGCAGGGAGGCAGGAAAGGACCCAAAACTCAAAGGGCAGCTTTACTGCTGGACACGAGAAAGAAGTAAACTGGACAGTTTGCAGTCAGGACACACACACCTATGAAGGAGATCACGGGGTTGAATACACCGAGGGATGACGAGGGGATGAGACACAGGAGCACAGCTGGAGGAATCCTCAAGGTTTCATTGATACTTTGACCTTCCTTCTTTGTGCTGAGTAGGGCTGTTCGGTGTTGACCAGGAGCAGTGTTACATCCCTGATGACGACTGCTCTTCATTAATGCTTTGTGTGCACTGTGGGGGTGTGTGTGCCTCCTCCACTCGACCCTTTTCCTATTTCTCTCTCTTGGTTGGGTCCAACCCTGTGTGTGCAACAACCACTTACTTTTGTGCAGGTTGTTTAATGAACAATAAAGTTTGTATCTGCATTTTTGACGTCTCCTGTCAAGTACTGTTTTGGACCTGTGAAGCCTCTGGCTCTTACACTTTCATGTCCTGGTGGTCAACAACTAAAGTATTCTTCACCGTCGATGCAGAGCAGGAGAAGTGTGCGTGGGGGTTAGCCTCCAGGACGCAGGAGCTGACATGTATGTGTCGAGCAACGGGAGCTGGACGGCTTTGAGTTGCAGAATCAAACGCTCGTGGATATCTGTGCATGGCCGTACTGTCTCCTGAACCTGTATCAATGAACCGTGCACTCTAACTGGATGTTTGGACTTTGATCTGGCTGAAGTGCTTCGGCTTCTGCGTGAAGGCGTCTGCGTATGAAAAAAAAGCTCTTTGTTCAGACTGCACACACACTGTATATGAAGGTACCCACAACAGTCTGGAAATGAACGAAGACACAATAAAATGTGATGAGTGGCTGAGCATGTGGACAGACAGTGGCTATAACCTTTACTGTGGGTGTGTCGTGTGTGTTTATCGACTCTTTGAATCTTTACCTTTGCTTCACCGTGAAACGCCAGCTCCCAGTGTGTGACGAAGGTTGGTGTGTGGGAAGTAAAACCATGATAACTGACTCATTTTGCCTTAAAAAGCTTTTAGCTCCATGTGTAATATCATTTACACACAATGAGATGTCTTTTATTTCCCAGCCTCAGTGACTAAACTCACTCGTCATCCTTCCCAGAATTTCATCATTTTTCTGTTCTCGTGGTGTTAATCATGATGACGACTGCAGATTTTAAACACTGTGTTCATCAGTTCACTGCCAATAGAGCCACAAATGACGGTTCATAAACCAGCAGCAATGGAAAAACTCCATGTATCTGTAAAAGTGCTTGAAGTGCACGCTGGAGCTACAGATGGAAAGTGTGTTAAATAAGTGAGACTGGTGCAGAGCGGGGTCTCTTTCAGGGATCCTTCACATACTCAGACGGTGACTTAAAGGTTTTCTGCTCTAATCCTGTCAAAGTGGCACCGCTGAAATCTTTACGTCAAACCTTTATTCTTCTTACTGATGGCAAAGACGACACAGAGCAGACGGACTTCCATAAACTTAGTTGTTGTATTTGTCTTGCTGCTGTTGTCAGTGTTCACTAACTGAAAGCAGAAATGTGAACACACTCACTGAAGCTCAGAGAGTGCAAAAATACTTCCACCTGTGTTTGGAGTATACGTGAATATCCATGTACAGTATAACCAGGTCAGACACCCGTTAATTTACTGTGTTTTCCTGTGAACTTGAAATAGCGTCACTAATATGTTGCTGTTTTATGCCAGCAGACATGTACGATGGGAGGGAAACGACCCTGGCTTCAGC